TCCATTCAATAAAAATTGAGGAATAGCTACCAGAGGGCTGTTCAATTTAATACAAAAATTTCAAGTCATAAAGAAAGTACTTTGATGTCATTTAAAGCATTTTTACTACTTTCTGATCATCTTGTCGGTACCTATAAGATAACTTGGGACACCCAGTATTAACATGAAATGAGAGTCATTAATATATGATAATAATAATTGTATATTAGATACTTCATTTTCTTACTGTCTCAGAGATTATGTTCAACAGGTCATATTATCATCTCCCCGCCATCATGGAAGATTATTTAAAATTTTGCAGTAAATTAATGATAATTATTTGCTCTGACGAAATGGACAAAAATGTTGAGGTGGGATCTAGAATAAAATATCTACTTCAAATTTGTGGGTAAATATAAGACGACCTTTTTTTTAAATGAATTCTCGGCCAACTACTCAGAAATGTTTTCAAGTGGAAAAGTTTTCTTGATGAATGTCTTGCTATAGAATAATATATAATTGGAGCTCAATACGTTGATCTAAAAGTTTGGTAACTTGATCTTCGGCGCTGAAACAAATATCGAGTGAATTCAACTTCACCCCTGGCGCTAGTTAGACTTCGCCGAGAGGCGACTGCTGAGAACCAATGACTTCCCAAATAATGAACACCAAAACATATTACTGGCGATCATGTGGCGATTGATGCGAATATCGCTCCTAAAGGCCTCGTTATAAGGCGATGTGCACGGATTCTTGAACAATTCATTGGAGAGTTCGTTATTAGTAGTTGATTGAATTGAATTTCCCAAAGTCCTCTTCACAAGGCTATGCATGCGAATATCTCAAACAGCTCGTAGTCGCGAGTACTTAAAGACCTAGCCAGAAACAATTGAAGCAAATCTCCCAATGTCCTCGTCACAAAGCTATATGTATATGCATGCGAATTTCTTAAACAGCTCATAATTGCGAGCACTTTTGCTTCGTATATCTCAAAGTGCTCGCCTGAGGGCATGAGAATTTCTGCGTGTGATATCTTTAAGACCTCGCTGAGCTCAGCCTAGGTTGCGAACATTTGGAGGTGATACAGTGCTCTTGGCGATCTCTCAAAGAAGTTACAAAAGGCATAACAATTTCCTAGAAGGATATCGTCAAGATATCTTCAGGGCCTCTTTGTGCTGTCTGGGTTGTTGCCATGGATTAATTTAGTAGATGAGTCGAAGCATATTAACAATGCCAAACCAGTAGCAGTAGTAGTAGCCATAGCATTGGTAGGCAACATGTTCCCAAGATTCGCAGTGCCAATGAAACTTTATTCCGATGAAGGAAGGAATTTTGAGTCGAAACTATTCAAAAAAGTTAGCGAATTGATGGAAATTATTAAGACTAGAAGGAGGAACCACTCCGCCTCATCCACAGTCAAATGACATGGTGGAAAAATTCAACAGGACAATGGAAGAACATCTTTCCAAAGTAGTGGAAGATCATCTGAAGGACTGGGGGATATGCACTTGCCTCTATTTGTTATGGCGCATACAGAGCGGCTGTCCATGATTCAACAAAGCTAACTCCAGCTATCATAGTCTTTGGAAAGGAACACCGGGTACTTGTGAAGTGGTGTTCGGGTCACCAAGAGTATCCAAGAAAAGGAAGTCCAAGATTATGCAGATGAATCGCGAGATAGCATGACGAAAATACATGGGACTGCTCGAGAGAGACTGAAATTGGCTAGGGAAAAATGAAGTTTGACTGTATAATCCACGCAAAAAGAAGAGAATATCCCCAAAACTGACAGTTTTATAGGAAGAACCATACAAGGTGGTGAAAAGAATCAATGATGTGGTCTACAGGATACTAGCCCTCGGTCCAAGATGAAGGTTATCAATCTTGAATGGCTGAAGCCCTATCATGGTCACGATGAAATTTGACGAGGGGGGCAGTGTTACGATGTTATATTTTTTGTAAGAGACCTGCGCGTTCTTCTCGAAAAAACCCAGATCGGCCAGGCGTTACACAGGAGCTGTTCGAAGATTTGGCGAAGGTTCTTGAAAGGTCATGAGAACGCCAGAATGTCTTAGGTAAGATATAAATATCGGCAGGTATCTCGACGGGAGTAGTATTGGCACCATCATCCCTACCAAGCCCACCATATCTATGCTCGGTATTTCCATCAGCAACACTCTTTCATGGGATAATCATGTCAGATCCATCGCAAAAGCTGCTTTACAAAAACTCGGATTCTTGTTCCGTGCGAAAAGCTACTTTACACCTCAACAGCTCCTCATGATCTACAAAGCGCAGATACGTCCTGTTCTAGAATACTGTTCCCACATATGGGGTTCAGCACCAAAACATACGCTGATACTCTTATTAGATTCCATCCAGAGAAGAGCCATATCCGCCTGGTGGGTGACGCCACACTCACTTACTCTTTGACATCATTGGAACACCGTAGAAAGGTCGGCGACCTTTCACTTTTCTATCGATACTTCCACGGGAAATGTTCTTCGGAAATCTCTGCTATCATCCCTTCACTAGCAATACCAGTCAAACGAACTAGACAAGCCCAGTCAGCACATCCTTTCGTTGTCAACCTCGAAAGATGTCGAACAGCACTTTATCAAAACGCCTTCATCCATAGAACGGCTAGGCTCTGGAATTCATTGCCTGAGGAAGTATTCCCAACAACATATAATCTCCAGAAGTTCCTATCCCTATCCTCCCTAGGAACGCACGATGTTCTTTGACCATTATAGGGATTCCCTTTGGTGCGCTCCAAGCGATAAAAAAAAATAGAGAGCAACTAGCGAGAGAAATTGATCAGTTTGAAGTTATAGACGTGATTATTGCGATTCTGTATCGAGTATTTTAGACTGTATTAGTGTTTGTATTTGAATAAATCGTTTTATTTTCTACTGTGTGTTTGTGAAAGACCGAACCCTGACGTTTCTCGTAACAGTATCAATTTATTCAATAAGAAATCTGAGGTTATTGAATCACTGAATGAACTCTTGATGTTTTTATAACAGATTAAAACGTGTATAAATTAAAATATCCAGCCTTAAATTTTTGGGGTTCAATTATTCGAAATAACGAATACCAGTATGGATTTTGTGACAAAAAATGTTCGTGTTCCGATTTTGTATCATATTTATTGATTTCTTTATATAAAAAAATAAGGGCAGTTGGTTTTGAGGTTATCAAGTCAGTATTTTGTCTATGTCTCTCGGCAGTAGCACATTGATTTTGGTAATTTTTAAGGGGCCATATACCTATAACTGGATTTTTTTCAATCGCACTCTATTTATTTCATTACAATGTTTCAATGATTTAGAAGAAAATTAATATTGTATAAACTGAAATAGAACTCATTGAGTAAGTTGAGTTGACAATAAAACTGAGATATTATCATCAATTCAAAAAACTATACCCACTTAGAAATCTATTGAAAATTAGAGATTAATTATCAAAATAGACCAATCAAATTGAAGGCTTCCGCACTTCGAATAAGACGATTTTATGCTCGAGTGCAATCCCGTAAGACTCGCTAAAAAGAACAAAACTGCATTCCCTAGTGGTGATTTATATAGGAAGGATTTGATCTCGATTCGACCGAATTCGTTAACGACAAAAAATTGAATTATAAGTTGAATGTCGATATTCAATAATCTTCCAGCAATTATTACCGATAATTTTCGTAATATCGAGAAAAAAATTATCGGAAATTAATTCTGCTGCGTGGGAGATTCGGTAAGAAAATTTCATAAATTGGAGTTGCTTCAGATATATTTAAATACTTTGCAAAACTATTCGTTAATACTGAGTTATAAATGTATTTCAACGAATATTTGTAATTATGAATATAACTGCCTGTACCAGAAAGTATTTGAGTACTCATAGTATTTAAATATCGAAAAGTATTTAAATACTGAGAAGTTTTTGTAAATACAAATAATGCCCTGATCTGGTACTCATGCAGTTTGAATTATTTGCAAATTGAATTTGTCTACCTCTTTCTGAAATAACTCACACATCCAAAAGTGACCCAGCGAGCACAAAAACATCTCAGAGATGTTAAAAGTACGAGATTTCGAGACATTGAACCTCCACTGCGATGTTCTGTTCACACATGAATAGAACTATTATAGAACAGCCAATGTCCGCCGCAGGCGGCAATTATCAAGATGTCCTTGATATGTCACAAAACTACCTTCTCCCTAGTTCTTTTTAAAGCCTTCTCATGGGCACAACAGAACATTTCCAACACGTCTTGCGCACAATAAATCGCTGTAAAAAAACCATTTTCGAGGTACTTTTCTGAAGCCTTTTGTCAAAATGAACTTTTGCATTAGGATTCCCTTGAATGAAAAAATGCATTAGAAATAGATTGAACATTAAGATATTTTCTTGATATGAAATTACCTTCTTAATCGGTTTCTGAGTAGTGCTAGTGAGGCACCGAACAACACATCTTGCATCTGATGGTCATTATTACAAACTAAATAAGTCTTCTTCACAATAAACTTCACCAAATTCCTTTCTGTTCGTTAGCAGCGTGATGTAAGCGAATGCCAATTGCGAACAAGAAGAACAAAATCGAAAACAAATCAGAATTAATCGTATTGTGACGTTAGCATGAGACGTTGTGGTGGGGCAAACAAAGAAAGGGCACAAAAGAACAAAAACAATACTTTCAGTATCCTTCTAAGAATTCTTTGGGAAGTGCATATTACGCCTCAAAAAAACATCCTCATGCCTACATTTCTGAAACATCCCAAAACATCCCAGGGATACCTCTCAGTAGGCAAACAAAGAAATGCCACAGAAGAACAAAAACAATACTTCAATCGAGACTTCAATATCCTTCAAAGACCTCTTTGGTCAGTGCATATTACGTCTCAAAATAACATCTTCATGCCAACATTCTCAAAACATCCCAAAACATCCCAGGGATGTTTGTGCTCGCTGGGGAGTATTCGTAGAAAAACTTGATTTCGAATTAAGGACCTCAATTGTTCACTTACTGATACAGCAAACTCCAATTCCATTGGCACATGCACCAGATGCCACTCCATTGATATCAGCACATTGTCGCCTTCTGTAGCAGATACCCTCAATGTTGGCAGCAGTGGTACATACGCTGTTGGCAAATCTCACTAGCCCCACGCCAAAACCGAATCCAACTGCAAATGTTAGTTATTTATATATACAGGGTGTCCGGAAAGGTCTTGTCGTAAATGATAGGGCTGATAGAGTGAGAAAAAAATGTCAATAATTCATTAAAAAAAAATGTCTACCGCACTTCGTTACGGAGTTAGTGACCATGAAGGTTTTTACGATGTTCTGTGAACATTACAGGATATCCCTTTCCGTGGGAACCAGAACATAAAAAAAATGGTATAAAATAATGATTTTTTTATCGCTTGGAGCGCACGAAAGGAGATCCCTATAATGTTCAAAGAACATCGTGCGTTCCTAGGGAGGATTGGGACAGGAGGTATAGGTTTTTTTTTTTACTTCTGGAGATTATATATTGTTGGGAATACTTCCTCAGGCAATGAATTCCAGAGCCTAGCCGTTCTATGGATAAAGGAGTTCTCTGCTGCTGTTCGACATCTTTCGAGGTTGACAACGAAAGGATGTGCTGACTGGGCTTGTCTAGTTCGTCTGACTGGTATTGCTAGTGGAGGAATGGTAGCAGAGATTTTCGAAGAACATTGCCCGTGGAAGTATCGATAGAAAAGTGAAAGGTCGCCGACCTTTCTACGGTGTTCCAATGATGTCAAAGAGTGAGTGAGTGTGGCGTCACCCTCCAGGCGAATGGCTCTTCTCTGGATGGAATCTGAGAGCATCAACGTATGTGTTGGTGCTGAACCCCATATGTGGAAACAGTATTCTAGAACAGGCCGTATCTGCGCTTTGTAGATCATGAGAAGCTGTTGAGGTGTAAAGTAGCTTTTCGCACGGAACAATAATCCGAGTTTTTGTGAAGCAGCTTTTTCGATGGATCTGACATGATTATCCCATGAAAGAGTGTTGCTGATGAAAATACCGAGCATAGATATGGTGGGCTTGGTGGGGATGGTGGTGCCAGACATTACAATATCGGGCATACTGAGTTCTGCCTTTCTAGAGAATATACAGGCTTGAGTCTTGGTGGCGTTCAATTCAACTAGGTTATTGGTTCCCCAGGCTGTGATTTCAGCATTGACCTGCCTGCGCCGTGAGTTCTTAGTTTACTGGGAAGAAATGGGAATTCTGGAAGGGAACGCAGTATGGAGGGTACTATCATCTGCAAAGCTGTGGATGGGGCAAGTTGTTACTCCCAACAGATCATTGATATGAAGAAGGAATAATGTTGGTGCCAAAATCGATCCTTGTGGAACGCCGGAATTGATGCTGATGGTATCAGACGATACACTTTCCACCACCACGTGAACAGAATACCTATACCTACTAACTGTTAAATTGCAAATTTCGTATAGACATTTTCAAACTCACTATCGCAGCTGCTTTTGATAGATAGAAAAGGCTGAATTTATAGCATGGTTTCATTGTAGTTACTCCTAAGGGAAGTACTTTTGCTGTAAGAAAGCAGTTTCCAGTGATGTTACATGTTTATTACCATTTTATTGTAGTTACCGTAATGGAAAGTACTTTTGCTGTAACAAAGTCGTTCCCATTAACATATCAGATTGGAATCATATTTAACGTTACTGAGATTTTTTTGTGTTGGTGGACATATAACAACTCTGAAACGATCATAACGTAACAATGTACTTTGGTTACTATTTGATAACTAAATACAAAAAGCTCGAAGTCATATCCACACAATGTTCATAAAAGAAACAACATTGGTAGATTTTGGGAGAAAAAGAACTACTTTTCTGGCTAATGCCACGCAGAACATTGAATTACATCCTCCCGAAATCTATGCATCGACTCGTATAAACGAATACTGATACAAGTGAAACTTTTCTGAATGCCCATTGATTTCGATTTAGCCAGGCCACGCTAGACACCTACAGACCGGTTTCGAGCTCTTTGACTCGCATCAGTGCAGGGCAGTCTCCAGCCAGCAGTCCTAAGACCGCCGACTAAGCGTAGCCTAGCCAAACAAAGATCGAGTCGGCCTTATATTCCCACAGAGGCGTCCTTCATATATAGACAATATGAAAGCAACGCCATCTGCATCGAAATCATGAAGGGCGCCTCTGTGGGAATATAATGGCGACTTGATTTTTGTTTGGCTAGGCTACGCTAAGACTAGTACTGCTGGCTGAAGACTGCCCTGCACTGCTGAGAGTCAAAGAGCTCGAAAGTGGTCTGTAGGTGTCTAGCTCCTAGAGTATTTTCGGGGGTGTGAGAGGGTGCATTTGACAAAACATCGAAAAACCAAAAAATATCGAGTCCAAAGGGTCTCATTACTCACCAATAAGGATAGGTATATCCAGACTTTTCAACAATACTTGAAAACTAACATAAGCGTTGTTTTCTTTTTACAGATTTTCTTCTTTTTTATAAATTTGCTGATGATGGAGGATTAATCTTTCGAAATATGTCCTTTTGTCCATGACCGTTGGTCATTATTGAATTGTTTATGTGCTGGAGTTGTGAGTGTAAGTTCTTTCACCTCGCTTTTTTGTGAAACCAAGTTGTCTTCGTCACAGCCTACCATCGCCAAACAGTCTACCATCGCTGGCGCAAAATCCCTAACCTCGCGACTAGAGCAAAATACGTTGATGCCAGGAATAATTGAAGCCAAACAATAGATGCTTCGAAAGAAACATACAATGCCAAGATAAGATCGGAAATCATAGATTGCCCCAATGGCTTCCGTTCGTTTTGGTCCCTTGCTAAAGTGGTCGGAAGAAATTTCACTAATAGTTCATTTCCACCACTGTCCAAATCCGACGGCACATTAGTAACAACATCGCAGGAGAAAGCAAATATGTTTGCAGAGATGTTCGCAGCAAACTCTACTTTAGATTCCCAAAGCAAAGTGCCGCCAGACATTCCACCCGTTGAGAGTCGAATGCCCGAAATCGTCTTCCGTCAACGCAAAATCAGACGAATTTTGCTTGGTCTCAAAACGAATGAGGCTAACGGTCCTGATGGAATTCCACCCATTATCCTTAAAAAATGTGCACCAGAATCAACACCGATTCTCTGCAAGTTGTTTACCATCTCGTACAGGTCGGGTATTTTTCCATCATGCTGGAAGACAGTTAGAGTCCAACCAATCCCTAAAAAAGGGAACAAGAACCTGCCCAACAACTACAGGCCCATTGCCCTGTTATCAGTAATCTCCAAAGTAATGGAGAAAGCCATCAATATTGAGCTTATCAAATATCTGGAGAGCTCAGGAATCATCAATGATAGACAATACGGCTTTCGCCACCGAAGATCTACTGGAGATCTACTTGCCTACGTCACCCTCACCCATTAGTGGCAAGCTTCAATAGAAAAACACGGGGAATCTGTAGCTGTCGCGTTGGACATATCGAAAGCATTCGACCGTGTTTGGCACGAAGGACTCCTCCACAAACTACTATCATACGGCTTACCACCTCAGCTATGCCATCTCATATCGAGTTTTCTTTCAGGCAGATCGCTTCACGTGGTGGTGGACAGTGTATCGTCTGATACCATTAGCATCAATTCCGGCGTTCTATAAAGGATCGATTTTGGCACCAACATTATTCCTTCTTCATATCAATGATCTGTTGGGAGTAACAACTTGCCTCATCCACAGCTTTGCAGATGATAGTACCCTCCATACTGCGTTCTCTTCCAGAATTCCCATTTCTTCCCAGGAAACTGAGAACTCACGGCGCAGGCAGGTCAATGCTGTCAATGAAGACCTTGCTGAAATCACAGCCTGGGGAACCAATTACCTAGTTGAATTCAACGCCACCAAAACCAAAGCCTGTATATTCTCTAGAAAGGCGGAACTCAGTATGCCCGATATTGCAATGTCTGGCACCGACATCTCCACCAAGCCCACCATATCTATGCTCGGTATTTTCATCAGCAATATATGGTATTGTATATAATTTCCACTGAGGGAGTCATTTTTCCATCTATTTCCATATTTATAATGTATACTATAATTATTAATTAGTTAAACTCTTTCAGTAACTACATAGATTTAATACATGATTTGTATTTATTATAATGGGGGCTACCCGTACAATAAATAAATAAAAATAAAAAATAAAATAAATAAACACTCTTTCATGGGATAATTATGTCAGATCCATCGCAAAAGCTGCTTCAGAAACACTCGGATTCTTGTTCCGTGCGAAAAGCTACTTTACACCTCAACAGCTTCTCATGATCTACAAAGCGCAGATACGGCCTGTTCAAGAATACTGTTCCCATACATATGGGGTTCAGCACCAAAACATACGCTGATGCTCTTAGATTCCATCCAGAGAAGAGCCATTCGCCTGGTGGGCGCAACAACATCCTTTCGTTGTCAACTTCGAAAGATGTCGAACAGCACTTTATCAAGACTCTTTCATCCATAGAACGGCTAGGCTCTGGAATTCATTGCCTGTGGAAGTATTCCCAACAGCATATAATCTCCAAAAGTTCAAACAAAATTTCAATGCCTACCTCCTGTCCCTATCCTCCCTAGGAACGCACCATGTTCTTTGAACATTATTCTCTTTCGTGCGCTCCAAGCGATAAAAAAAAATTTGTCAGTAAAAACAGTTTGAATTCAATAACTCAGTTTTTTTATTGTGTATCTATTCACCCATGAGTTTCTCTTTCTTATGTATTCCTTGAGAAAAACTAGGAAAATACAACTTTCGAAATTAACCAAAAAATGGGGGAAAATTCAAGTAACCAAGTTAAATTATTATTTCATGGCTGCAAAATTTTAATGCCACGAATAGTTATTTGTTTTACTATAGGCAGAAAAGTTCAAGATTTAATGCCGCGGCTGGGGTTTTATAGCCGAGGCTAGGAAACCAACCAAGGAGGCATTGAAGCATCTTTTCTGCCATGTGAAACGTCATTTTTTCTTCAAACGTTATAAAACCAATCTTGATTTTGTGTAATTTGTCTGCTTAGGCAGTAAAAATACACCTTGTATGTCATTGAAAAGACACTTTTAATGTCATTCGGAGAAAAATCAGATTTTACGTACTAAATATCGAATGAGAAATGCTCG